TTTCTAATAATAACAACTCTCTGGTGTCTTTCTTCGTTTTTTTTTTTTCTTCCATTCTCTATTGATCAAGGGTGAGTTGTCACCCGAACGTCTTGTTATTGTACAACAGATTGTACATTCTATTTATAGAGCTACGAAACAAGAAAAAAAAAAAACTATCAGAAACAGGAAGAGACAAAAAAAAACTGTCATTGTAATTTTTTATGTCCATCGAAAAAGTGAAACTTTTTGTTTTTTTTTTTTTTTTAGTTTTATTTTCATAATTCTATAATTGAAAAGATTTATAATTGTGGAAAGAAATAAAAAAAATGTACCCACAATTAACTTTCTTCATTCATATGCTACGTTGATTTTATTATTCATAGAGATGATGATGATGATGATGTGTTATATTATCGAGAGAATAAAAAAAACTTTTGTATTTCCGTACTCATTACGTTAACCATATCTTTGAGAACAAGAAAAAAATAAATTCTAAAAAAATTCGATGTATCTATAATAGAAATTAGTAGAAATATAGCATATACTACTCTCTCTATTCGTCAACATAAAAAATAGAAAAGTCAAGGTAAGAAATAAAAAAAATAGAAAAGACTAATATTTTTTATTTTATAAATGAACAGAATAGAGTTGGGAGGAGGTCAGTAGAACGGGTGATATTTCTTCATGCAAAAAAGAAAAAGTAAATGTGAATAATCTAAAATTAAGAATAAAAGTATTCTTATTCTTGTCATATTCACTATGTGACCGTCTTATTTGTATTCCTAGTAAATTATATTTACTAAGAGATTTAATTGTTGAAGCTGTTATTGTTTCTTTGTGTGTGCAAATTCTACAAATCATTTCATTTTAATCTTTTTCACTTGTATAACTTTATATTTTGACTATTAGAACAAGTGTATGTACTTGGATATTTGCCTGTAAACCAAAATGAGTACTCATATCGATTCTTTATCAATTTGTCACCGATACTTTTTTCCGATTTTCAAGACAGCGGACATATTGATATAAATAAGGTACAAAATCGACTTTTTTTTATACAAGTATAATGAATATCCAGAAAAAAAGAATTACTATCCTGAGAAAACATATTTTTCTCCGCTTTTCCTTAGTTACAGATAAGATATTATCGATTTTTATATATATAAACTGTTATTTAATGGAGATATGAAAAAATCGACTTCTTCTCACACTTTCAAAAGAAACAGCAAAAAAGGACAAAATAGTTTTCAGCATGTATACGGAACTAGGGCTGTGACAGTTACCATTACCGTTACAGTAACTGTAACTGTTGGTCGGTTACCGTTCCTGCTAACCGTAACGGGTAGCAGTTACTGTTACAATTAACGATAACGACCAGTTACAAGTAAGGGTAACTGTCGAGCGTGTGTTTAACGAGGTCAGAAGTGTATAAGTTCTTACGGCTATTTCTACAGTACGGCTGTGACAGTTATCAGTTACCGTTACCAAGAACGACAACTGTTCAAAAGTTACTGTTACCGAGTAACGGTGGTAACGGTAACTGGTAACTGTCACAGCCCTATACGGAAACTTAACTACCACGTTTTCTTTTCTCTAATTTTCGACTAGAGATGTGCACGCGTACCATTTTCGTACCCGTACCTAACCCGATCCGACAACTTTGTACCCGTATCCAACCCGTACCTGACTTGTGCCTAAAAACTTTCTCCTTTTTGTTTTCCAGCTAAAAACTTTTGTTTTTCGGCTGAAGTTATCAAATTATCATTACATTCTGAAGTAAATCTTTTCTAAATCTTCATGTATTTTAGCTAAACTTCTGTATTTTTTCACTAAACTTTTATGGGTTTTCCACTAGAATCTTCCGATTTTCGGGTAAATTAAAAAATCCCGTAAAAAAAAAATAGAATCCGTACCCGTAACTGCTCTATTCGTACCCGACCTATACCCGACAACTTCGTACCCGTACCCAACCTACGGATCGGGTTACACATCTCTATTTTCGATTAAGGATACGTCCAGAGCCAGCTGTAACGTCTGTTTTAAAGCGTTCCCGCACTCTTCACTTTCTTTTGTTAAAGATATGTGACAAAAAGTACTAGTGTACAAAATCAACACTTTTCAGTTAAAGACGTTGTAGAGTTCTGAATATGTTCTCGGTCGAATAGTGTACTAGACGACTTTTTTCGAATTTTTTACTATTTATAGTAAAAAATTACATTGCAATAACAGAATTATGTGGTCAGACCGTGTTGACTTTTGTTCAAAATCAATTTTGGAGTATGATCCATTTTTTTCTGAAATATTATTTTTAAGGATCTCATGATGGAGATTATAAAAAGATTCAAAAAACTTAAGTTTACTATAAACTCTTGTCTTCAATGACATGAAAAAATTTAATTTTTCGTTTAGAAATACGTGAGTTTATCTCATGATTATGAAATAGTGTATTCAATAATTTTCTTACACTTTGTTCGATCATTAATCGTTACAATTCTGTATTATATTTATACTTCCGAGACTTATTTTTTTTTTTGATGAGATTGAATTTTGGCATATGGTTTTTAGCTATTAATCGTCTTCTCTCTCTATATATATCGTATGAAAATGTTTGTAAAGTTATTGTCTAGTGTATACGTGATTTTTTGATCTTAAATATAATACATTTATCATACGTATTTATAAAAGCGTCGGTTGATATCCGATTACATGTCGTTTTTTTACTTACCTTTAGGGGATGGATGTGTTCTTTGAATTAAGTCTATAAGTTATGTATAGAGGTTGTAATCAACTCTCTTCGTCTTCTTTTGATTTATTTTCTTATGTAAAATAACAGTCACCAACAAAAAAAAAAATAGAGAGTATTTTAGTGTAAATAAATCGTTGAGAGACGTCTCCTTGTTGTATATTGTTATGATTTATACTCATCCGAATAACAACAACAACAAGTTACCACCATAACAGATATATCTGTGTTTAATTATTTTTGACAATCTCTCATATGAAGAGAGAATCGAAACAAGTAGTAGAGTAATGATAGATAGATACACTGACATTATTTATACTATATACTCGATACATGTTAGTATGTTTCAACAAAACAATTATAAGGTTCGTCAACGTGAATTAACGCTTTCTGTATAAGTATTTTGATTATTATTGTTCAGTTTTTTTCTGTAATTTAATGTTCGTTGCTGTTTCCATTATAAAAGAAAGTTATAATTTTTATAGCAATTAGTCACGTTTAAGAAAAGTAACAATTTTTATTTTTCATTATATATACTCAGGACTTTAGTAGAATGTGATGTACAGTAGTCCATTTGGCAAGAAAAGTTGATAAATCACATATTTTTCGATTTAAGACATATTTTACACTTAGCCTAGTTTAGTTAAAAAAAAAAGTCTATTCAGTTTGATGTTAGACGATAAATATAAATGTCCATTTGTTCAACTATTTTTTTGCTGAATAATGATCTTATAACTAGAAATGTTCAGTAGTTTGTAATTTTTCATGACATGAATAAACATAGATGACAAATCAATGATGAGCATCTGTTCTTTTCTTCCTTCTCTTATTATTGATTGATAATTGAACATCTATCTCTATCTATTTGTATTTTGGATTAAAAAATCATTAACAAAATCAATAACATTCTTCGTCGTTCGTTAGTTACATCAGGAGAGAATGAGAGAAAGATAGAAAGAAAGAGACGGATACTTAGTGCATCCGGAAATTCATCTCATTAAACAGATTCATATCTTTCTGCATCTGAATGTTCAACAAAATTAGATAGTGGGTGGTTGTAAGTTAGTATCGAATTAATCTATACTGTTCTATCTTTTCAAAAGAAAATAACATCTGGTTTGATAAAAAAATATCTCTCACACAAACATTTTGAGATCTGAGTATGTGGTTCAGTATCTCATACAGTTTTACTCGAGAGAGAAAGAGAGAAAAAGAGAAAAAACAAGTCTGCATGTTATCGTTTCCGGCTATTGAATGTATAATTGCAGAGAAATACTATGTACAATAGAAACTCTTTGTAGTTAACAGCAAGCAGTAGATTTTTAAATATTTAACAGATCCTGTTACCACTATTTCGTCTCCCGCCGAACAAGTGTAAGTAATTATCAATACATTTTCGTGTCTAAAAGATTGTATCTCGCTCTTGAATGATAGCAGGTGCAGAATATACCCGTTTGTTCCGACGTCCGTCAGGAAAAAATTTTCTGATTCGGGGAAATTTGCTGAAAAATAATAACAGGAGAAAATTTTTTGAGAAAATTTGAACACTATTTTTGTGAACTTCTGTGTTTGTAACATGTAAAAAGAATCTAGAATTTAGTGTTGTACAAAACTGTATATTTAGTTCTTGTATAAAAGTTGGATTCGCGAGACGATATTCTTATCGAACTTTTTTCCTCGCTTATGCAAGTTTTGATTTGAAAGATAATGGAAAAAATCGACAGTAATTGGGAATTTCAAGAAAATGTCTTTCGTAGTGCTCATTGAGCCCTGAGAATTTTTGTTACGCTATAAATCAGAACTGTTAAATCACTTTAATGGTTGAAAATATTTTATACATGTCTGCTTCGTTTGACGCCTTTGTTCTTTCTTTTCCACTGCACCTATTTTCATCGTGGCTCCTAATTGTCTCTAGAGAATATTTTTCATATGAAATACACTTGTGTCTTTTTTTTCTTCTTCTTTATTCATCTATGTCTCTATTATTTCAACAAAAGAATAGGATAATCGGTAATGAGACGATACAATTAGCTGCATAGCCAATATTATTATTATTTATCTGTCTGGCACTATCATTATCATCATTATAGATGTGATATAGTTTTTTTTCTGTGTTGTTTGTTTTTTTTTGATTTTTGACACTTCTTTTTCTTCTCTCTCTCTCTCTGCCTTTCTCTCCTCTCTCTCTCTCTCTCTCTCTCTCTCGCTCTCTCTATCCCATATGTTTGTATCATCACGACAACAGTGCTCAACAGAGACGTTGGAATATAATTAGATGCGACATACGGTATTTATCTCTCGCTCTTTAGAAGAGAATAGTTTACACAATGGTAGAGTTGTATGAGAGAAAATACTCTTTTTAGTTTGGAGTGCCATCGATATTATCTATTACTGATAATATTTTTAAAGACATAATTTTTATTTGTAAAAAAAGTACTAGTGGTATGGATCACCTGAGCTTTCCTGAACACGCGTGACTAGTGTTTTTCACAAGATGAAATTAACCATTGACTTTTTGCTGTTTGTGCAGCGTATATTTGATTCTAGTGTAAATTTTCATCAAATTAAAAAAACAGAAGAATAAATTGACGCATAGGCTTCTACGAATGCACTAGCATAGAGAATAGTGTAGAGTTTCATGTAAAGCAATTACTTTTGATGGAATAGACTTCATTTTCATTTACTTTTTAGTATTACAAATTAAAATGTACAAGAAAATGTTCTTTTACTCACAGTAGTTTCATATGAATTATTTAATAGTTAATGACATAAACTATACGGTATGTTATAAAATGACATAGTTCACTATGAATTTATTCTGTTATTTATGTTCATTTAGAATTCCATACAATGAAATTAATTAAAAAAATAATTATTAGTCGTACGGAAGCTGGTTTTGGTTTCACCTTACGGCATTTTGTGATTTATCCACCATCGACCTACGTTAATGATTTACTTCAAGTAAGATTATTCAGCATTTATATCAACTAAATCGTAGACTGCGACACCTTCTTTACAGTGACCAGAACTATTTCTAGTCTAATTGAAAATCAATCATCCACTCAAGAAAAGTATGATAATGCTGGAATAGCTGCTCCGAAAATTTTGCTATAAGTAATAATTAAAACAATGTAATAGATGCACACATATATCTAATGAGAAGATTTCCAATGTAAACCTATGCTATTGTTGATTCTGAGGATGTTAAGTTTTACTTAGCAAGTAACATTAATGGTAATTTTTCAAATTTGTGCTTAATGAACCATGCGACACGTAGATGTCGCTGCATTTTAGTAAGAAAAAACCTGTTTCTTCGTAGTAACTTTAGCATAATTTAATTGTGTTTAACAGTATGAAAAACTTTAAGAAAGTAACACTAAAACCCTAATTTCACTTGAAGTAAGTAAGCAGTGAGCTGTGGAACAGTTAGATTTCAAATTGATGAAGCCTACTTGTATTGAAAATCTTCTCATTGTTTTGCTTGATACAGCTAAAAGAGTTATAATAATAAAAGCAGCAATGGCATACTATAGTCCACTGATCTGCGTAAATGTTTTACTTTTGCACAAAGATTAATGAGAGATATTCCACACTGTCTTTATTTTGATAGAGCAAACAGTTCACGCTACTCTTTAGTAGCAATTATCACTAAATATGACAATCTACTTGGATAGATTCATCAAATCGGTGCATATCCAACTGCTTTGTCATGATTTATCGCATTGAAGCTATGTAAATGTGTCACATTAACCAGATTCTGTTTCTAAAAGCCGACTACATATACAGTAGGAAAGATCTTAATTGCAACTTTGATTTCTACAGCACATATGTACTTGGTGTATACGTCTCTGTGTGTCAGCATTGGAACCAGTTGAAGCATATCTATCGGACCAGTCAATTCACTGAGTAAAGCGTACCTTGTTTGACTAAAAATCATCCATAAGCAGCAGCCTGTTCCGTTGAACGTGTAGTATTCAAATTCAAATTCAAAAGTTTTTCGTAGATGTTGTAGTTTCAAAAATAGCATAGACAATGAAAACAATTTTATTCATCGTATAAAGCGACTGATACCCAGCGTTTATGATATAACTTTGACGGAGAAGGAGCAGGCTTTTTAGTGAGGGACTAAAAATTTCTCTGAGTAAGTACGTTCACTTCCTCACGTCAACATAACAAAACAAGAGTATTTATTCGCTGTTCCCAGTGACTACATTGACTTGTTTGTAGTGATCAAATAAAACTGATTTACTTAGCAAGTTCATCTCCAAAATAGCTGGAAAAATTTAACATATGTCGCAGTCCTCAATACCGAGTAACTCAAATCTTTCTGGAATAATTTTTAAAAAAAGAGGTGAGAGAATTCGCCCTCTTTTCTTCCAAATTGAACTCGCTGTTGATATCAACGAATGTTGAACTTTCATTGAAATAAAAGACAGCAGAAAATGGATTTTGAGTAAGAAGTTGAAGAAACCGTTAATAAATGGTCCGTTAAACTTTTTAATCGATTCCAACCGATCAGCCGATGAACTCATCGGTTTTGTCAGTCCGATTCCAACTCCGCTGAATGCACAGATACTTTTCATCAATATTAGATGTTTGATTTATTCTATCATTTCGCTTGCTCCTTCTACATTTCGTTTATTTACACCTTACATTAATTCGTTTGTCTATGTTTTCCTTTTGTATAGGCTTCTTACAGTGTTATTATTGATGAACATCAACAAAAAACAACCACAACAAATACAAATGATAATATTAGTGGCAAAAGTAGCAATAGTAGTAGTAGTAGAAATCAATCAGGAGTTCTATTAACACATTCAACATCAACAAATAATAATAATAATAACAGTAACAATCAACAGTCAATGCGAATAATTTCAAATGGTAAGACGAATTAGAAGATTGTCCTTCGCAGTTTAGCACTTTCTATTTATACATATATACATCCTTCATCGTAGAATAGACTGTCAATTTCTATCTCTCTTTTCATCGTTATTATTATTATTATTATTGGCACTAGTAATAAAATATTCTTAACTTTTTCTTTTCCTTCTTTGATTGATGAATTATGCTTATATGTGACAGTTTTTCTTCTTTCTCATGTACGTTGTACGTACGTATATGTGTGTGTATGTGCATAATATACAAACACAAACCAGTTATTTCATAGCTTATGTAACAGAAGAAATTCTCCCCTTTAAAATAACTTATTCATCTTATTCTTACTCTTATTTGAGCGATACACTCATATATAGAAAAAAATATCAACAGTTACAAAATAGGTAAATACACAAAGATGATCGATTGTCATGGTACCTTTTTTTTTTCATGTCACAGTATTGAAGAAATCTTGTATTTTTTTTTTCTAAGCTCCATCTTACAAAAACTTCTAGAAAGTATTTTTTAGTATGAAAGAAACATTTAAGTCGTCTGAATGTGCAGAGAAAATGTAACTAAAAATGCTTATCTATGGTTTCTGTTTTCCAGATCAAAAGTAGATTAACAAGTGTTTTATCGTAGTAAATAATTCAGTATACAGATCAGTTTTAGAAAAAAGGTCATAGAGATAGATGCTGTAAGTGACTTCTTAGAAATTAAGGTTAGCTAGTTATCGTTGCTGTCTTATTGCTCAAACGAACAATATTAGTCAGTTGATTAGTAGAAACTGACGAAAATTCATTTTATAATGAACGAACAAAAAGTAGTATAACTATTTTTGACAGATAACCTTTTTTTTGTAACATCAAATTATCGATCAGAAACGTTTAATACTGCTCTATTTTGGAAACAGCTGATCTTTGAAAAACATTCATGACTATTGAGTTGAACACTTTTTCCTTTGGGCTATCATCAGCATTCTTTGTCTATTGATGTATATACCTTATACTTTCTGAAGTCTTTGATAATTATTTCTCTCAATCATCTTGTTTATGTTAATAATTTTATCGTTATAGTCTGTTTTTCTTTCTCTCACTATTATAAAAATAAACAAAATGGTAGACAGACATGCACTGCCGTGGCTATGTCTGTTTAACTATGTGAAAGAAAAGAAGTGTTATTGCTACTATTATTATTTTTGTTTAATGAAATGTAAAACATCTTTATTTTTTCTCGTAGATGTGATCACAGCAGATAATAATGGGGGAACAAATAGTACAACGAGCCAAGATTTACTACCCATGGATACAATATTTGTTAAAGAAGTTCGACAAGATGGACAAGCCTATCAAGCTGGATTAAGACAAGGTGATAGAATATTATCAGTAAATGATCAAACAATTAATGGAAAATCATATTCACAAGTTATTGCCATGATACAAAACACGTAAGAAATAATCGTTTTTGTTGTTTCCTTTCAACAACAATGATTGATTATATTTTTACAAATCTATAGAGAATTGAGACATGTTAAAATCTTACCAAGGATATGTTTGTGGTTATAATATATAACACTATAATTGCCTTCTCTATGGCTCTAAGGAATTTTGGCAAATCAAAATCAAGTCTAATATCGGCCTTTTTTTACTATCGGCTTCGCCACGTAGTTCTGCTGCTGCTGCAGTGTAATTCTGTCACATTATTTTTGCATTTTGCCTTCGTCTATCATTTCTGAAATGAAGACGCATCTCAAGCTCTGCAACGTCTCATATTAAAGAAAAAAGTGTGCTGAATATGTTGAGACTTTCTCATACTCTATACCTTCTTTTGTTTACGAAAGATGGCAAAATACGAACTGTTACTTTAAACTACATTAACAATCATATTTCTTAAACAAAAGAAGGTATAGAGTATGAGAAAGTCTCAAAATATTCAGCACACTTTTCTCTTTAATATGAGACGTTGCAGAGCTCGAGATGTGTCTTTATTCGAGAATTATAGTAGAAACAAAATGCAAAAGAAACGTGACGGAATTACACTGCAGTAGCAGAGTTACGTGGCCAAGCTGCTATGTGATTAAACTATATAGTTTGCGCGACCTTTTTTTCTTGTTTCTAGACCTGGTGATTTGGTATTAAGTGTTGTTCCAAAAGAAGATGATATTTTACAACTGGTTTGTATTTCATCACTTTCGCTATATGTACTTATTAGTATTTCTGTTTTTCAGGCTTACTCTGATACGGCCTATAATCAAGCTCATTCTCCTTATTCTGGCACAGCGGATCGTATACCAGAGCCGCCATCTGTCAAATATTTGCCACAACAACAGCCATCATCTTCATCTTCTTATCGTGTAAATGACACTACTGTTCCCTCATCATTTGAACAGACAAAGCCTCGTCGTACATCAGCCGTCTCAGCAACATCTTCACAGCCTCAATCTTATCGTCCGGCTCATCCGACTCAGATACTGAATCCTAAACAAGTAATCGAAAATAAACTGCGTAATTTACAATTGAATATAGCACAAGGCCGAGAAGACGAATTTGCTAAAGCAGGAATTTATTTTCCGCAACCTGCAAAAGCGATTTACGAACAACCAAAAGTAAGTGTTGATCACTTTTATCCTGCTCTTAGATAGAAATACTTGACACTCTTTTTACTTTGTGTGCCTTCAAGGGATCAATACCGACTCAACCAAGGAGGATATCTCATGCATCTGAAAACTCACCTCCAACAACGAATTATTCACAACCACAGCCAACAAATGCTTTTTCGAAGTATATTGAAAGTGTTCATCGTGCATTGGATAATACGACCAGTACTACTCCACAAAGGCAACAACAACCAGAAGGCGTAAATACAGATAATGAAGATTCTATTTATTCACAACTACATCTAGTCATGCAACCACCTCCGAGAAAACAATCTCAGCAACAACAACAACAGCAGTCATATTATCAACAGCCTCGTTATGCACCATTAGCTACATACAATGATTATTCACCTTACGAATATTCGACAAATGATTATCGACAGCAACAACCACCACCACCATCGTTCCAGGTTGCTGTGCAACAACAAGGAAATAAAGAACAGTTATTTTTAACAGGAGTTGAGTCGGGACAAAAAGGTATCGGAGCAGGAGTTGGCTTATATAAACCATATGAAAACCATAGTAGGTGTTTTTGTTCTATGATGTTAGTTTTATAAACTAATTTGAGCCTTCTTGTTTTATTTTAGATATGCCTGGTGGTATTCCGTCCAATACATATTACACATTACCACCTAGACGAATTTCGACAGCAACAACCGCTTTAGGTCAGCCACAATCTCAACAACAACAATGGATTCAAGCTAACTCTCATTCACATACACCACTCGTCAACGATTATGTCTATCAGCAGTCTCCCAAATTACTGAATTCTTATGCAAGTGATGAAACTTTGAGGCCGACATCGATCGATACTGCACTAGAAGAACAGCAACACTTACGAAGGCAAGCGGAACAGTCTCAGCAAAAACAGAAACAGCCACAAATACTTGATGTAAATTTGAAATCACCGTCTACAGAAACAAACACGTGTTCAAATGAAGGTAAAATGAGTTAAGCAGAGTAAGTAAGGAAATTATAAAAACTCTAATATCTCTTCTAGGTGTCAACAATCCCCAGCAAGAAGAAGATGAAGATAATATGAAAACAGAATTTGTAAATTTTCGTAAGAAACAATTTGAAACAGGTCACGTTGAAAATGTGCCCGATGATCGTCAACGTGAACGTTTATCGAAAAAATACTCGGAAAAGAAAAAATATGAGAGCGAATGGAATCGTATAACGTCAGTGGCTGATGTCGAATCGGTAATGGAACGCGCATCACATTTTGAAGATATTGATCCAGATAAATTTGCGAGATTAAGATCAAAATTACCTACGTCACCACCACCGTCTTCAAATGGACATGGAGAAATCGAGCAGAAACAATATGAATTAAGTTCTTCTCCATCACAACAACATCAACAAATGAAATATGGGCAAGGCAAATTAATGAAACATGAAGATAATCATTATCAAACATTACAGCAACAGCACATTTCAAGAGGTAAGTTTTCATACCATTTTATTTTCATAGAAAGATATCAATAAGTACCTGTAAGCTTTTCGTTGTTTTTTGTTTAATAGATGAATTAGGCAATATTGAATTTTCATTTGATCCAAGGTATTTAATACAGCAGCAACCACAACAACAACAGTCGGGTGGTCGACTAGCCGTTTCAAATTATTCACCTAATCAAGAAGGGTAAGTTAAAACTTGTAACTGTGTTAGAATAGTTGTCATTTTTTTGGCTATGGATTCTAGCCAACGTTATTTATCTCATCCGTCTTCTCAGCAACAGTATATGGATCAAAGCAGTAATCCATCGCGTGTAAACCTAGTTCGTCAACAATCGTATATAACAGCTGTAAGATCATCAATGATCAACGACCAACAATCTCAGCAGCAGTCATATGGTAAGAAAAACGCTATATGCGAAAAATATCGATAGTGGGTAAGAGATGTTTTAGAAAATGTGCGTGTTATCCGCTTTAGAAATAAGCTTGATATCGATCTTTCTTGCAAAGAAATCAGGTGGAGCATGTCAAAGCTCTATTACAGTTATCAAATTAACCATTATAATTGCCTTTATATATATTCAAAATTTAGTTAACTGTTTGTTAAGCATCTCAATAAAAAAATGTTTTGTATAAACATTTTTATTAATTGTTACGCATGTTTATTTCTCGTCAAACAGCTTCATTTTATATATAACTCTGTCTGTGTGTAGATATGCATGATGCTGATATGCCTGGCTATGATCAATTAGAGCGATTGTTAACGACATTGGGTTGTGGTGGAAGCAGTAGTGGCGAATACTTGCTATGTACACCAAAAACCATGAGGCCAAAAGGTATTTGTCTTGCGAGGTTAATTAATAGATTTAACTCTTTTTCATTTCACATACGATTATATAGTATATAGCTTTTTCTGTATTTAGTCTCTCCATTCACATCATTACCTGTCAGACCCTCAGCATCAGATGAACAACAAGAATGGAAACAACGTCGTGCATCTTATTTAATTGCTACAGATCAGAAATATCAAGATCAATCTTTTCACTCTCAGTCATCTTCAAATAAACAACAAAACGAATATGGTTACGATATGACAGACGATCAAAAACTAAGGTATAGTATCACTCAGCTTAATTTCAATTTGTAACTTATGTATTAACTTTAGAAATACACCACAACAACAGCAAGCTCAAACACAGGCGATTAGAAAATTAAAAAACTTTTTTGGAGAAGGAGTAAGTGGATAATTCTGTTTAAGATCAGTTTCTTTAAGATTTTTTCTATGTAGACGCCTCAAGTTCTTCATGCACTCGATCATCCATCTTCCACTTCTCAGCAACAATCGCGTGCTAGTCTATCTCAGTCACCTCAATCGTCTTTACAATCAAATCAGTCAAAATCGTCGTCATTTTTCAATTCTTCAAGTCCACCAGCCACAATTCCATTAACGACTATGGTCGACAACATAGAACCATCGAAAGAAGGTATTCTTTATTGTAAAATGGTTTTAAAAGATGGAAGAAGAGCCCCGGATCGATCATGGCGTGGTGCATGGGCCGTATTACGCGGTGGAGCATTATTTTTGGGTAAGAATTCTTGGTGTGTGTGTGTGTGTGTGTGTGACATTGATCAAACCTTCGAACGTCTGGGTTTTAGGGAAAGAAAAGAAGCACGGTTTATTAATTCCATTATCATGTGATTCATTTCCAATAAATCTGAAAGATGCTGATGTCGAATTGGCGTCCGATTATATAAAAAAACCACGTGTATTCAAAGTGATAACAGCCACACAATGTGAATTTCTATTTCAAGCACCCGATATGCAATCATTACATGAATGGTTAGAAGTCGTTCGAGAACATTGTTGTTCGATTACATCATCGGAAAATGATATAAGCAGAGGTGGAGAAAGTACTACAACGCCAGGAACTGCTTCTATCTCCAGCACACAACGACCATCAACAGCAAGTCTACCACCCATTGTACCACATCATACAAGTGAACAAGATTTATCTCAACGTAAGTTTATCTCGTATTGAATTTGACATATCTAATTTCCTATTGTTTTTGTAGGGCTTTCATCGTCAACTCGCTCTGGTAGTAGTAGCAAACCAAAATCAAAACTATCGTTACGTAGTCCATCATTAAAACGTTCACCAAGTTTAAGATTTAGAAAATCACAAAAATCTGCTTCTCAGTCACAACAAGGCGCATCAACATCATCAGCAAGTAGTGGTATTGGTGGTTCATCATCATCCATGTTAAGTGCACATAACAACGGTAGTGGTAGTCAATCAACATCACCTCGACGTAGTTTTGTTAAAATTGTTAAAAAAGGATTAAAAACTCTTAAATCTGGTACGAGTATCGGTGGTGTACCACAACAAATGAGTGGTCAAGTGTATGATGAAAATATTTTAACAACATCTACAACATCTACGACTGATGATTGTAATCTTTCTGGTATTAATTTTGGTATTGAATTAGAAGAATGTGAATCATCGTCAATATCTCGTTCAATTCCAATTGTCGTAGAAATTTTATGTAAACTAGTAGAAATTCGAGGTATTACTTATACAGGTATCTATCGACATGCAGGTGGATTAACAGCGGTCAACTGGCTTGTAAATGAACTTGATAAGGGTTGTGAACGAGTCGATTTTCAATCAGAAAAATGGTATGATATCAAAGCTGTGGCATCAACATTAAAGACATTTTTTGCAAAATTACCAGATTCATTGATATCATCAAGTAAGAATAATGATCAAATTTTATGCATGTTATATATGTTAATTTGTATGTTGATTTTTTAGAAATGAGTAGTCTGTTTGTTGAAGCAAGTCGTATTGACTGTCATCGTGATCGTTTAATCGAATTAAAAAAATTAGTGACACAATTGAATGATAATCGATTTGAGACATTAAGGTTTTTATGTGCACATTTTAGAAGAGTAGCATCCAAATGTGATATTAATAAAGTAGGTTATACTCTATTATTATTTTTTTATTCATTAATAATTGTTTGTTCGTTTTAGATTGATGCAAGAAATTTGGCAATTATATTTGGTCCAACATTGATATGGGATAGTAAAGCATCATTACAATCAAATCTTGTCGATAATCCAGAAAAAATTAGAATTATTGAAGCATTTATCCTATATGTAAGTCTTTTAATTTTTAAACAATCTGATTTTTTCATATGTACTTTCTTTTCTTTTTTTTTGTAGCATGAATGGTTCTTTGAACATGGTGAATATGATGATATTCCCTATGAAATTAATCCACAAATGCCAAAATTAAATTGTATCTATGATGATACATTAAACGAATCAAAACCGAGTGAAATAATTCAACATATTGTAAGAGCGGCAAAACGACGATGGAGTTCACCAATGTTATTAGATACATCTGTTCTATCACAAACACACCGAAGTAGCATCGGCAGTGGCGGTGATTCACAAAAACGAAGCTCAGATGACAATTCATCTGGACCATCAAAACCAGTTAATATATTTGTAAAAAGGTAAACAATATACTCTTTATCAAGCCAATTGCTTCTGATTGACAAAAGCATACATACTGTACTGAGTTTGTAGATATTTGATCGATATACTCTTAAAACAGTTTGACTTTATTTTCTCTAGAGACAATAGATCCATGGACTACATTATACTTCTATCTCTATTTCTAGCGTGATTCGTCAATATTAAAATCACAAAAAAAATAGAGTCTTCTAAAATCTCGTTTTCATTATATATAGACAAACAAAAAAAAAAAAATTCTCTCTTATAATCGCCTATTACCATCATACGTGTCACTGAAACAAAAACCCTTGATAGTGTAAGATATCGTACCACGTTTTTGTGTTATGGGACCCCTGCTATTATTAAACAAATATTTACTGAGCTTGATTTTTATTTTCCATGCATGGATAGTGTTGCGTTTCATCGCTTATGCATTATTATTTTTTCATTATTTTTTTTCGAAAAAAAAAAGAGCTTATGTATGAAGTGTAATGGCAAAAACAATCAACGTGTCTGTTTTTTTACTAATTTTTTTATCATTTTCATATATTTTAGATCATTTAAAAAACGTTCAACAATGGCCACATCGAAATCATCTGCTTGTCGTAGTCGTTCGGTTGATTCAAGTCTAAATTCAACATTATCACCAACAACAACAGCACAATTATATTGTGGAGAATCTGTCGATGTTTCTATAGCATTACCTCCACGATCTCAAAATCAAGAATTAAGTGAAGATTCAGCCGTCCATTCAATGTCAGATATTGTCAGTAGTAGTACAACAACATCAATAAAATCCACTGAACATTTAAAACAACGTTCAAAAAAGGCACAATCTCTAAAAGATTTGGCTAGTTTTTTCAAACGTCGTAATTGTTCAGAACATAGTAAAACTAAACAAACAACATTAACACCAAAATCATCAACCTCTTATTTACCATTGATGACTTTAACATCACTAAAAAGTTGTAATAGTAGAGGACGAAAATTACGAAAAAAATTAAATTCATCATTATTCATACAACCAGTTGAAGATTTTGTATCATTAAGATCTCCAGATTCATCAAAATTGTTTAGTTCATCACCATTAATGTTAAAATTATTTGAAAATACAATGAACAATGAAACGACAAATCAAAATTTAACATCATCATCGAGTCCATGCCTAGTAAATTATAATCAAAATAAAATAAATATATGTAAGTTATAATTTCAACAAAAAATTATTTTAGACATTATTTATTTGATAACTATTGTTGTTGTTGTTTGTTTCGTTTTAGCTTCTTCATACAATGATGTGATTGATGGTGATTCAATCTGTTACATTGATGATTCTTCTCCACCTCCCCAACAACAACATTCTAGTCTACCTTTAAATAAGCATTCTTCATACGCTAATACGTCTTCATTACAGAATCATGAACAAATTAGATTAGAAACATCAAAAATAAAACAAAAATTACATGAACGAGATACGCTATTAAATGATATTAAACAACAATCAATTTATGTTAATCAAACATTATCAAAATTTAATAATAATAATAATAATAATAATACTGTTAAATCTATAAAAAATCGACAAGAAGATATTATTAATTCTTCTTCTTCATCTTCTTCTAAAAAATCTACATCACCCTTATCTTTAACAAAAGAAGTACCTTTAACTTCTTTATCATCTTCTATAAAACGTCGTCATACATTTAATTCCGTATTTGATTATAATTTACATAAATCAAAATTAAAACAACATGTGAAATTAATCGATACGTATCTATTTCAACATGTTACGAATAAACGTCATTCATTTTCATCAAATGTATTTGCTAAATTACTCTAATACTACCTCTCATAAAACGCTCTATTCTTTTGTTGTGATAGAACCGTCTTGTATGCATGTCTAATCGTATATAACGGATTTTTAACCTCATTCCATATAAAAAAACACCTCCTATTTGTCGAATACTTCATCTGTTTGGTTCATGTTTTTCACCTTTTCTTTTTTAAAATTTTTGTACACTTAATTTTGACTTATCAAAAATTCATTTGATCTCTTTCTCATATTTTCTCTTTTTCTTTATACAACGACGACTTTATGTATGTTTATTTGTGAATGACTCTTGTTTAGTCAAAAAAACAAATTGTTTATTTTTTTGCTTTTCTTTCTACTTTTATACATTTCTTGTGATAGAAATTTTGGACGATGGCGACAATTTCTAAAATTATACTTTCTTATCCGGTTTTCATGTTGTTGTCGCTTCTTTTTTATTGCCATGTTTTTGTTTGTTCGTTTGAGATAATCTATAGCTAATAATCGTTTTTATGTGTATGTTGTTTTTTCTTTCAATGTTTAGACAAAGATAAAAAACCAACGAAATAAATTTCTATATATGTTTGTGATAATAAAATGAGAAAAGATATCATAATCGAAAAGTGATTATGAAAATCATTTTGTTTATGTTTCATTAGAGGAGTTGAATGAATTGCGAAAGATATTTTGTCTTGATGATGCACTTGATGAAAAATACATTTTCTCAAAGCGATATATGGTGGATAGAAGCTGATTGCTTTTAGTCACCTAGATTAAATATTTTATATAAGTCTGTTTATTCTCTACTTCTTACGAACAATGTCAAAATGGTATTCTAAAACTGTTCGACACTGTGAATGGTGATCTATGTGGAAATTAGGTAATATTTTCACTACTGTACTTCTTATGCTATCGTTTTCTTAAGAGAACACTTGTTAAAATAATCGCGCCATGAAGAAATTCTAGTGTTTTTTCAAGTTTATAAAATTAGCTTTGATTGTCTTAATGTATTTCGTATTCTGATACTTGTTAGTGAGATTCTGATAGCATGACTTCGTGATCATGTTCGTCACGTACTTCAACGGTACTGTATTTGAATCATAGTGTGAAAAAGTTAGTCATGTCTTAGTATCTCAAGTCACGCGTGCAGCAGTATACCTACTACGTCGTTGTGCCATACAGCACAGCTCCTCTGACTAGCTCGTGCAGCTTTTTGGAAGGCTAGTACGTAGTTAATGAATGTGTAAGGAGAGGAATTGGGCGAAAGAACTCTGCGTCAGGCTAGCTTTCTGTTCAGGGCTGTTGTTAATGACCAGTAACGAGATGAGTGACCATAACAGAAATTCGTCAGCCGCAGGGAAGTTGTCGGGCTATTGAAACTTCCATTCGGCAGCACACTAGTAGTTAATGAGAGTCGAACTTTTTTTCTTCTTCGTAGCGAAAGATCAAAAATTGATTGTTTTTTTTTGTCTTCTATGTAGAACTTTACAGTAGATGGATTTGTCCACTGACGCCCATGGACATTATTATATTTAAATCAGTTGTTCACGACGCTAGTTAGAAAAACTTGTTCATTCAGGAGTATTGTTGTAGTTTGAATTTTGTTTAAAATAATTCCTTAGAGTACATGTTATACTTTGAAACTGACGAGGGAATCTCTTAAGGTTATAAATCGCTTTTGAACTCAGACTACTTTTATCTTGTAGATCTCAGTGAGTAGTGAAATACTCTAAGTTGGTTTGTGCCCATGGTGCTGTATTGCTGAGATACTGGATTTTTAGTTAGTTTTTTCCTATAGAGTCTGGATTTCGAACAAAATCCGCGACTTTCGAATTTTGATTTCAAACTTGCCACACTTGTAGTCCATGGTCATAGTAGTACGACGGAAAAATATTCGATGCTAATGAATTTTACTGACTTGAGATATTGAGACTAGAACATTTCACGAGAAGGTGAGGGTAAGGGTCAAATGTTCGAGTTTAAGAAGAAAGAAAAAAGTAAGATAAAAGTAGTCTGAGTTCAAAAGCGATTTATAACCTCAAGAGGTTCCCTCGTGAGATAATCTTTCATATTCATCTTGATAAATGTGATCATAAATAAGTTAGAAACGTAATAAATGTTTCAATTGTTAAAAAGTTCAGCAATCCAATAAAATTATGTCAACTTCGTTCTTACATTAAATAAGTTTTTGTGTTAAAATGGTGAAAGAGAGTATGTATGCCGTGAATAAACATAAAGATTTGTACTGAATTAACCTATTCACATACCACTTGTATTGTCTTTTCTTATTATACAGCTAGAAAAAAAATGACATTTATTTATAAGAAGAAAGGGATAAACGCAGAAAGTGGACTTCGTACGTCACTATAAAAAAAAAGTTTATGCAGAATTAATTTTTGAAGTATCTGTTACTGTAAACACATTTGGATGGCATAAAATAAAAAATAATTTGTTGATGTAGAAACATGTTTTATATTCAAATCTACATCGTGTTTTTTTCTCGTTGCAGGAGATTCTGACGTTGTTTCGTATAAAAATTCAGGTATATAGAAGACCGTGATAAATAATTAGATTGTAATTCAATTTTTAACTTTTCAATAGAAGAAATATGACTAAAACGCGAAAAGAATTGATTTTTAATTGAGATGATTCGAACAATATTTTTATTCTTTCTCAATTTTAACTTTTAAAAAAAAATGAGATTATTTCTGCTAATAGGTCGTGCGCTTCTGAATTTGTTCTTCTGTTGTCAAAAAACGGTATGTGAAGTACGCTTGTCTTTTTTTCTCTTCCAAAATTGCAACATTACATCACATACAAATAATCGACCTTTGATTTACCTGCGTGGCTCATTTTTGTTCTTCTTTTCAATTTAAATGACAAATTTATACAAATTTTTCCATATAATAAGCATAAGAAGAACGTACGATTATCATACCGCAAAATATAAGAAGGAACAGTCTGTTTTTCTGGTTATTCATGTTTATATGAGTTCACAAAATAAGGTAATAATTTATTCACTTTTTTTTATCGCTCGTTGTTTTCTCAACATGTGAATGATCGATCGATCTGTTTAAGATTTGACAATTTTCATGATAGTAGAAAAACAATGTAATTGAAGGATCTAAACTTTGATCCAAGATGAAGTGACAAAATCCGAAAGTATTTAAAATAGATCCATCGATGATTAGATCGAACGAGGTTTGTAAACATTACAGTATTGTTGCTATATTTCTTCCTCTTGTTTTGATCGGAAAACAATAATCGTAGAATGGTTATATCTTTAACAATAATCATAAATCTTGTTTGCTCTCTCTATTCTCTACTCTCTGTTTTTTCTTATCTATGTAGACAGACTCTCTCTGTCTCTCTCTGTTTATCTATATACACTATGATAATAAAAACGGAAAGAAACATAGTCTCTTTGATATGTTATAACTTTTTATAGCTATCCGAATTTATTCTCTTTTCCGAGAAAGAACAAAGAAATAAAATGCTGTTTTTTTTCCAAGAGAGCATATAGAAAGTCAGTTTTTTTTTGTTTTTTTTTAGAAGGAAAAATAGAGAATGGAGAGAATACAGTATCAGGGGAAAAAAATATGTTGCATATTGAGATATCACACTAAGTTATAGGTTACTAATTCGGTACATTTATGTCTTCTGTTTGTATTGAAAACACCTAGAACAACATCTTCTAACGAAATTTTTGTATATGACACTGTTGTGACAACCAAAACAAAAAAAGACTTTTCTCCTTTCTTTTCGTTTTTATCGTTTCATACAGCCAGCGAATGAAAACTATGTTAGAAGTCATAAAATTCGTTTTTGTATGAGAAATAAAATCCTAGAAAATATGTAGTCATACAAAGGCTTTTCTTATCCATGTAGACGTAGTTTGGTGAAATCTCGTTCCTAGTGTGAGAGAATGTGGTTTGACAAAAGGGATTTTACGGGAAAAAGTCAATGAAAAACTTCTGAAAAAATGCCAGTAGACAAGAAATTAGAGTCTTGTAGGTTACAACTTTTTGACAACCTATAACCTAACCTATAAAAATCATAACCTAAACCTAACCTAACCTATATGTTTGGTTAGGCTAGATATAATCTACAGGGCTCTACAAGAAATGCCTCGGCTAAAACGTAGAATCCGTAAATTGTTGAATACTTAAGGTATTTAACATCCAAATTCTTAATACGAGACACTATTGCATCTAAAAACGTTCATTGTGAAAAGAATTTTTGATTTTGTTATTGTTATTCAAGATTGAATATATTTCTTCGATATTTGTTAATACAAATGATCCTGTTGAAGTCTCTCTAATGTTGTGCTCTATATAAAATATGTGTTAACTATTCAACAATCTGCTTTTCCACTTGAATTCAAGAAAGAAGAATTGCACTGTACTACAGGTTGTAGAATAGTCGATTTTAAGTGTTAAGATTTCTGAAGACAGGTAACCATACTTCTCTTTGTTTCAGGTGATGAGCACATTTTGTAATGATTTCTCTCTCACTCATAAACAAATTTTGCAATTTTGTGTTTTCTAGCTATGTAAAATGGTGAATGATAAACGAAATAGAGAAAGTATATTTTGTATATCACAAGACAACCGAACTGCAACAAATGGCGTTCTTTTTTTTCATACATTTCTTTTCTTTTTTCTTTGTTATTCCGTTAAATATTGCGTTAATGCAAAAGACATTATGCTTCCTTCCTTTTCTATATGGATCTAAAAATCATTGTTTATTTTCGTTTATACACATACATGACATGTTGAACTAACATAGCAGGTGTAATCTGTATTTCTTCGAGAAATATAAAACTTCTAAATGAGATAACAAGAAGATTTTAGTACAGTTTCAGGTGTCATTCGTACAAAGCTGGGCAATTCAAGTCAAGTTTGATTTAACTTGGTTCAAAATTATCTAGAGGTATGAAATTTTTTTTAGTGACTTGCCTTGGGACTTGCCCATCTCTGCATTCGTACTCGAATGCTTGCAACTGCAAAAATATTTAAATCCAAATGATTGTGTCTTCTTTAGACTGTGAAAGAATTCGTGCATAGTGAGCTCTATTATTCTAGTAATATACCTCAAGTCTTGAATATAAAACCTTTTAGAAATTCGATTCTGTCAAACATATCACTGAATATGGTTCAGAAAGATCATATGCATGGAAGAAAATCCTATTATTTCAAATTACAAAATTTCTCATAGAAATACGGATTTTATTTTGCTCTGTTAGTGCGTGCGATATGTGTCAAGCAAATAAAACGGTGAGTTTGAGATCTGAACAGGAAACAAAGAAAGCATATAGTGTCTTTTACACAACGCAATCTAACGGAATAAGAATGAAAAACGGGAAGGAAATAAAAACTAATAAGAAAGAAATTGCTGTTTGTTGCAGTTCTGATCGTGTGACGAAAAGGAAAGTAATAGAGTATAGGGAAAAAAGGAAAATTGCCAGTCTATTATTTGTCGCATTCTATTAATATGATAAAAATTGATATTTTCCTAGTTGATAACAGAAAAGAAAAATGAGCGCACACATGTAAGTGATCGCATCAAAAGAGGAGAAGAAAAAGTTGTAGAATCAGCCGTAAAAAGTAGTATGTAAGTAGGATTACTGTAAAGCTATAACTGATATAAACTTTAAAGATTGTTAAGAAAATATATTATCTCTCTATTTTTTTTTTTGGCGTGTGAGAAACATAAATTGCTATTTTTTCTGAAGTGTAAAAATAGACAAAAAAAAAGAAAGAAGAAAAATATAAATTGTAGAGAAAAAAGATATGATGAATGAAAACCAGTTACTATAAGCGATTTGCTAATAGTGCTAAGCGAAAATTGATCAACCTCTCTTTTTAGTAGTTTTTTTCCAGTTTTCTCGTTGTATGTAAAGCTAAAATGTAGCTGAGAAGTCAACAGCAGTTAAGTCATATTGCTATTTTAGTAATTTATTTGTTCCTTGTTTCCATTTCAGTTTGTTGTACCATTGGTACTATAGATGATGAAGTTTTTCAGAAATGTGCACTTTAATTATGTAACACACACGTGATAGAATTCTGTAATAAGCTAAAAACCAACTGTATATCGTTGATTTCTCATTGCTAAACCAAACATATTATAGTTGATTCAAAATCCACGTGCCGCTTTATTATTATACACATCGTTGTTACTCGTTGGGTAAGCTGTCATCAGTCAGTTTCTAACTTGACTTTTACATTTCTGACGCGAATATATATAGTCTTTATCAACGGCTCTTATTGCTGATTGAAAATTATAGTAAGGCTAACAATTTGGAATTGTGTCGATGTGTGATCGTGTCAAATATACTGAATATTTTAGACCATTCATAGTCTTTCACAGATTATTATAGATAATTCTGGATTGATCTGATTGTAAATAATCTATATAAACTGACAGTAGGATCTCGTTTATGACTTTACTCTTTATGAGAAAATAACTCTGATAGTTAAAAATTAGCAGATATTGTAGGAAAAGAAATTTGTCTGTCTGTTCCCATGTGTGTTTAAAACTATATATCAGTATATAAAAAATAGAAAAACAAAAAATGTTTCATTATTTTACAGTCGCATGTTTAATAGGATTTCTTTCTCCAGCTGCCAGTGAAGTTTTTTTTGTATGGTAGAACTATTAACACAAGGCTATAGATAGAGGTATTTAGATAATAGTTAAAGAATTTTCTCTTTTTCATGACACAATTTCGCACCATACATCTGACGTTTAACAGATAGTTATGTATATAGGTTTTTTTTTCAATACTACACGCGTATGTATATCTTACGTTATCATTTTTTATTGTTATTATTGTTATTGTTGTCATTATTATTATTCAAGTCTTTCATTGGTATAGAAATGTTAGAATGAGGAAAAAAATGCTGAGAAAAAATGCTGATTTCTGACGTAAAAAACAAAAAAATAATTCCACTCTTCCATATCAAATAAGTATAATTGAGTATTGACGCGCACATATGTGATATGTGTGTTTGTATTGCTTGCGTTAACAAAAAACAGACAAAATAACAAATAACGTGTTACGATTGCAATGACACTGCTTCTCAACTACTTGTTTCTGTAAATTTAGTAGTATCATATTAGAAAACAAAGAATATCCGTTCGACAAACATGGAGCATGTTCTAGACATAAGATTTCCGAAAAACTTTAGCATAAAAAAAAGTAGAAAGTACACACACAAAAAGAAAAATGACGTTAAGTTGACACTATACTCTTTTAATATAATAAACTAATATCCGTAACTAACGTGTAGTTTTATCTGATAAACATTTCAATATTTTCTCGCATTCTGCTTGAAACTGTTGTTTTGGCAATAGTAACGATATGAAAATAGTAGATATTGTATCATCTTGAGAAAAGATGTAAACAGAGATGTTATATTTCTTGATTTTACTCGTTTATCTCATATTTTCATATTTGGGCGTCTGTTGAATGTCAAGTACTATGCAAAAACTATATGCATTTTAAAAGTCGTATGAATATCTAGCTTTTATTGTAATCTTTATTGAATTGACTTCTATTCAATTCTTTCTATTGTCTGAAAATTATACCCAAGAATAATAATTGTTCTTAGGTGTTCTATCAGAACGACATTGTATGTCACTTCTGCTATCCCATGCCCTCGAAAGAAGAAAATTACTATATTCTAAAACTGACAACAAGATGTCATATGATATCTTATTTAAAAAAGATGTTTCATTTTTAGATCGTAAGTTAGTTCTACACTTAAAAGACGTTTTATTAGCACATTTTGCAAAACAATATTTTTCATGCATGACGCTGATATTTCACAGAATTTTGTGAAATAGTAGAAGATTTTCTCTTTAAACAGAGACGGATAAATAAACAATTAAAACTTTGATAATCATTTTTATTTTTTTAACTTATTTTTTTTTTACACTTTTAGATAAATTTTGATTATTCGTTTCAATTGAAACAGAGATCAATAACGTCATTTCTTATTGAAATTGTCTGTGACCAATCTTTTTCTATTTTTAATTTCTCTCTTTTCTCTCTTCTCTACTCTAATTCAAAGCCAAAAATAAAAGATTTTCTAAATTCAAATGTCGCAATGATTTCTGTCGTTGGTATCAGGAAGCAACCACTCTGGTCATTGTCATTATCTGTATTGACAATAAATCGATCAAAATCCATATTATTTTTGTTAACGCCAAAAGATTTTCATATTCGATTAAGATAGTTGTGTGCATACAACCATCTTCAACCTCTACTTTGCTAACCTGGTGATGTTTATTTATTAAACACCAACAAGTCTTTCGTGTATTTGTTTCTTTTTATTACGTTTTTATTTTTGTTTTTTGTTTTTTTTTTGTTTTTTTTTATACGTTTATTCGTGTTCTAAAAAAACTTTTTTGTACATTGTGTTTTTGTGTACGTTTTTCTTGTATAAAAATAGCATTGTGTGTTATGACTAGTACAGTAATGACGAGAGAAAAAACTAACAAAATTCGATATTTTGATAATGATGGTTATAGACAACGAGCAGCTTGTGTATGTATTAGAAATGATAATGAAAATGAGGTAAAATTTATTTTTAAATGACAAAATTATGTTAATTATTAAAAAAAATTATATTTTATTTTATTTTTGTAGGTATTGTTAATAACAAGTCATCGTGATGAACAAACATGGATTGTGCCTGGTGGAGGTATTGAGAAAAATGAAACGGCTTTAGAAGCTGCACATCGAGAAGTATTCGAAGAAGCAGGTGTTAAAGGAAAAATATTAAGAGAATTAGGAGTATTCGAGGTATATATAGATTTTTTAGACGTTTGTAAATGTTGTGGGAAAAAACACACACATTTATGTTTGAGTTTTATTTGGTTAATTTACAATGATATTGATTATGATAAATATGGTCGACATATGATAATGTTTTGTTATTTTTAGAATTGCGATCGTAAACATCGCACAACAGTTTATATATTAAATGTTGAAGAAGAAACTGATGATTGGGAAGATAAACGATTAATTGGTAAAATAACTATTTATATTAGACATGTAATAGTTATGAATTTCTAACATATGTGACTATTTTAGGTCGTCAAAGACGTTGGTTTTGTTTGAATGATGCTTATTTACATTTAAAAATTCATAAACCATCACAATTCTGTTATCTTGATCGTCTTATTTATTCATCACCAAATTGTTTACATCATTTAATTAATGATTCAAAATCATCAAAATTTATTATTGATGGTGTTGTTGAACAACAGCAATCATCTACTTCATCACCAAATACTCGTAAAAAACAACAACGTCAACATAAACATAGTCACGATGAACATAATTCATAATAAATGTGTGTATATGTGTTTGTGCATATTTAAATTTCTATGTACATATATTTCGTTTAAAAAACGTGCTTCGCTTATTTGCTGATTTCTTCTTTTTTTTTTTTTTTTCGTTTGTATTTTTTTTTTTGCTAGTATAGTTAATATGAACAATGATGATGTTGATGAGTCTCTTTTTTTTTTGATGTATGTATGTGTGGTTTTTTTTATTTATCTGGTGCTGTTATAAACAGACTAGACAGATCCTGAGAACAAAATATGATAGTTGATTGAATAAAAAACAAACAAAGAATTAGTAGTATTTGATTGTTTAAAGAGCGAAATTTTTATAACTAATGTCCATTTTAAAATAAAGTACAGTCGGTTGTTTGTCGAATAACTCGGGAACGCTCATATCTATCGAGTTCAGATTTTTTGTCGTTAGAAAGAAGACGATTGGGGGCATCTCTCTATCCCAGACACAGTGCGCATTTTTTTTGGTAGAGCAGGCGGACATATGATTTTTTGAGCTGAAAAATGATTATTTTTGCATAATATAGTCTCATTCTGTGTCAGATATTAATAGAAGTAAAAAAAGTCGAATTCGAAAAAAAATCTAAATTCGATAAAAAATTGGTCCTTGTCCTGAATTTTCGTCAAAAAATGTTTTATTTATAAATCTAACAAATTATACATCATTTTTCACGCTGATTCAGAATATGTGTATATTTTTGAAATAAATTGACATCGAAGGGAAAAACAGTCGATTTTAGCTGGGAAACCAGGGTTTTTTGAAAAATCTGTAACTTATTATAGAAAAAGTTGTGAAAGTTTGTGAATTCAGAGTACACGCAAGATAAGCTAAGGAACATTTTTTTGGCTTAAAAATGAGCTGAATCGGACTTTAGCTTAATCTGACGATGCCATTACACTGGAGACGCCTTTTGTTTCGGCGGTCCTCTCGGACATAAAGCCGTGTTCAAAGGTTATGTTTGAATCAAAATCGAACTTTTTTTATTTTTGAGTAGCATACGATGAGTACTTTCAGAATATATACTTTTTTTTGTTTCAACACCAGTCGGTAGCCAGAAAAATCGATTTTTCTAGAGAAACCATTGTTTTTAGCGCTATTCTTGGGTAGTAAATTTTTCTACGAAGGAAAACTCGTAAAATAAAGATTTTTACGCCATTAGATAGCGTGTCAAACAGAGTACATTTGGCGCTATTCAGATCTCTAAAAAGTGCACTTTCGATTTTTAGTTAAATGTCCGCCTATATGCCCACTGTGTGAGAATAAAAAACCTTGAAAAGTTTTCTACGTTTTTTTTGGAAAACTATTCATTGCTTCCTCTAACCACATGTATTCTTAATTTCAACTTAGCCATAGTGTAGTCCAATGGCTACTCTATGATTTTGTGTAAGGCCGACCTCTCTATCTTCTATGGTTCTCGGCTGGTAGACATTTTCCCGATACATACGTATTCGTTAACATTACGTTTGGTAACCTCCGAGACAACTGGAAACATAGGTTATCGACCACGTTGTGTCTCGTGAGAATGTTGTTTCCCGACAAACGTTCAAGAAGCTAGTGAGAACATATTTCAGGTGAAGTACTCGCTTTTATCCGGACTATGTCATACAACCTAAGAAACGTTTTAAAAATTAATAGAAAACATCTCCGTTTTCGGAAAAGTTCTCTAGAAATCTTCTAAATACGTTTATTAGAGAATTAGGTTGAGCAGATAAAAGCGAGTATATGACACTATTCTGAAATAGTCTGAAGCGATTTTGAGTGAATGAAGAATTTTTTGATTCTACCTAAAAATGGCTCAACATGGGTTACTTCACCTGAAATATGTTCTCACCAGCTTCTTAAACTTTTTTTCTGGAAACAAACATTCTCACGAGACACAACGTGGTCGATAACCTATGTTTCCAGTTGTCTCGGAGGTTACCAGACGTAATATTAACGAATACGTATGTATCGGGAAAATGTCTACCAGCCGAGAACCATAGAAGATAGAGAGGTCGGTCTTACACATAATCATAGAGTAGCCATTGGACTACACTATGCTAAGTTGAAATTAAGAATACACGCGGTCAGAGGAAGCAGTGAATAGTTTTCCAAAAAAACCGTAGGAAACTTTTAAAGAGTTTTGATTCTCAGTTAGAGAGATGCCCCCACATCATCCGCTTTCTAATGGTAAAAACCCGAACTCGATAGGTATCAGCGTTCTCGAGTTATTCAACAAGCAACCGACTGTACTTTATTTTGAAATGGATAGTAGTCTTCCTGAATTCTAAGGACTATGCTGGATCTTATCTTTATCTTATATAAATTGTTTACCCTGCACAGATTAACGAAGTTTATGACCTCATAATGAATACTGTTGCCATAGCATCACTGAGACTTTCTCCAAACATTTTCTATATACGTCATTAACACTAGTAAAGAATAAGAGGTGTCATTCTCGAAAGATAGAGAATGACACTAATATGAAATGTCAATATGATGATGATGATGAATCTAACGAATATCAAAATGCCGCATATCTGCTTTGTTTACATTGTAATCTGTCACTATATCTCGCACATCTTAATGAACACGATGAAGTTGTTGAAGATGAGTTTAACGATTTGCTTGGTAAGATATGACGTACTCAACCAGAATTTGGCACATTAAAATCTTGTTGATAACTGTCACGAATTATATAAACAATTCGATCAGTGTTTTATGAAACAACGGAAATTGTACAATGAAACACGAGTAAAAATTGATTAAACATATCAGCAGACATTCGATGAATTTACACAAACAAAACGAAATTTATGTCAAGAAATACAACACCAAATAAAATAAAACCAGTGGAAAAAAATACATATAATTTCGAATGGTAAACTAGTTCTCTTCATGTACCGATAACATCCCAATATATACGTGGTTTATTTAGATGAAATGACGAGAGAGTTACAACGAATGAGTGATACACTTCAGAAACAATGTTATCAATTACAATTAACATTGGTTTCATCAAATGTAACCATTTTCGTTCAAGATATGAGTGATGTAAATCAAATTATTATTTAAATGCCGTATTATGTAGCGATGAACTATGGAAAACAATATAAAATCAAAGATATTGAAGAAATAGTGAATCGACCGATTCCAAAATCAATAATTTAAACTTAAGAATTTAACTACATTTCATTTAATGGGTGTTTCACAGAACTATCTATTAGTTGTTAGCGAAAATAATGTCAAAATAATTGTCTTTAATCAGGAAGAGAAAACTAGTGAAATTGTAGGAAATCAAGAACAAGACAGTTGTATTAAAACTAAGTTTTGGCATAAAACTTAGATTTAGCTTAGTATTGTGAATTTCACTGTTTAGGAATTGGATGGAGTGAGTATTTGGGTTTATTTCTGATTATAATCCCATTATTCTCTATTTTCGTTCGATTATTTAATTTTTCAATTAATTGAACAAGTACAAGTTTGTCAATCTGATATTAAATCATTGTGTTCAATAGTCGTATATCATTTTTGATTGGAGATTCGGACACATTCATTGATCTACGTAAAAAGGTTTTATTGAATCTGTTGATCAACAGAATCTACTTCTTTTCCTTTTTGGCTGATTTACAAATGTCTCATCTTCGTCGATTTAAATTTGATAATTATTCAATATACTTAAAAACAAATTTGTTAAATAATCAATGGTTAATCTGGTTGAAATTTAAAATATGATACTGTTAGGATTATTTGGTGATTATCATCTTGTAATTGGTACACAACCACAATTAGATTTATATAAGATTTCACCTGTTTTGTTATTCTACTTTTTTCTTACAAAATATTTTTGCTTTTATTTTTATTTTGTTAATGAGTCTGAAATAGACTAATAGTCACAAGAAGTTACTATGATGTATATTAGTATTGTTAGACGATTGTCTTATGATATGTGGGTGCAAATGCCTAATAAATCTGCCAATTCACATTGGAAATACTTGAAATTGAGTGTGGGCGTAAAGATGTGATTTTTTTTTTTGAACACATATTTATCTCCTCAACTATGATTTTGTTCTTATTCTTTTTTAGATGTTCTAAAACATCGTAAATGTATTTAACATTACATTAAAGGGTCACCTTTTTATTTATGGTGTACACTAGATGTTAAATTTGGTATTCATTTGATTTATTTTTTCTATATTTGTTAGGATCTATTGTTATTTCTACTTATATTTTGGGGTATTATTATCTATGATCTTTCCTTCTGTAGCTATCGTGACTACTTAATTATAATAAAATATTCAAATATTTGGTCTTCTTTTCTATTTAAACTGGTACTATTACGCGAATTTTCACCTATTATTGTACTGTTTACCTAACCGTAGGGGTTTGAGAGAAAAAGTTCAGATTCTCGTCTCACAGCTAATAATTAACAGCTCAGATTTGTAAGAGCAGTTGGCAGCACATGCAAGCCTATATTTTAAATCACAATCGAATTACGCTGTAAAATCCACAATTTTCGTAATTTTTCGTAATTAATGAGTCTACTGCGGGGCAATCTATAAAAATATCGAGGATAATTGAGTATCGATCTCTAAGTTACTGTAGTAGAAAAAAAAGAGTCATATCCTTTTATTGTAGGTACGGGTGATTTGTAAAGGAATTAGAAAATTGTCAGAGTGCTGTTCAGCACTACAGAAACAAAAAAATTTATTGCATAGTTTCAAAAATTTGAAACTATGCATCTAGTCTGTGATTATAAGCGGAGCTAGTTTTCGGTACAATTTGACCGGACAACGTTCTACTATGGGAGCCAAAATATAAGAGCAGTGGTTATTTTCTGAATAACTCAAAAGGAATAAAAGATAGAGACTTGCGGTTTTCATCATTCACTAGCCAAGACCTGAAGCTATTCATTGAACTTCAGAATGTCGATAAGTATACTCTGTTTTATCTGTACCATGCTATAAAGCTCAATAAATGTTTCAAAACCGACAGAGAAGACTTTGGTTTCTAGAAAGATTTCCCAGAAACCTTCGAGACTAAGAGAATATTTTTTATTTATTTTATGTATAGAATAAGAATCAACGGCTAAAATAGAGTATATCTTAACATCCAGAGCTAGGTTGAATGAATTTCTCACTGAGTTATGACTTTTTTAATTTTTGATGGAAATAATCAAAAATGGATTATTTCACCTAGTATACGTTTTACTCGGTTCTTGCATTTTGTTCTGAAAACTAACATTGTCACGAGACTCAGTATAGTCGATAACCTATGTTTTTATTCATTTCTGACAGTCACAAACAGAGGAATGCGAAGGCTTCGGAGAAAACGTCCATAGCATCCGAACCATAGATTTCCAAGATGTCCCAGTTTTGTAGAGGACACTTCGGACTATATATCTATGAAAACAAATCTATAGATTTCTATGTCAGTTTTCAGAGAAGCGAACTGGTTTCCCACAGATCTCCCGAAAAACCGGTTTTTGAAGTTTTTCCCAATTTTGTTTTTGCTTATGAAAGCATAGATTCAGGTCTTGGCTAGCGAATGATGAAAACCGCTAGTCTCTATCTTTTATTCCTTTTGAGTTGTTCAAAAACTAACCACTGTCTTGTATTTTGGCTCCGATAGTAGTAGCGGTTACATTATAGCGGCAGGACCCTATCAGATCCAGTTGTCCAATAAACTAATAGTTCATGGGATAAGCTAACTTTTATTCAATATTTTTTCGATAGAAGTACTTCTTTAATAGAGAATTAGTGACATCAGATAATATTTGGACAAAATGCTCAAATTCTACAGGGAATCTGCGTGCTTCTTCTGCACTTCTGATTCGGATTCATGCAGATAGTTTCTGGGAGAAAGTTGCCCGTGACAGTTCGTCAAAGGCCCTAAATACGAAGGATTGAATTTTAGTTAATTCATCATCACCAGAGACTGCGAGTTCAGCGTTAAAGTCTTTTTTTATTTGGTAGCCACGACAAAATCACACAAATTGTTTTAGCTGACATTTGTATTTGGTTCCATTATCGCGAAAAGTGTATTTATTCGGATTCAGTTTCTAATATTTTTTGGACTTGTAGGTTAAAATAGCTACGGAAAAGTAATGGAGTGAAATTCAAAGATCACCTATACCACATTTCAGGTTTTGATCTTTAGATCAGTTTCAAATGAATCTGACCTCTATAGCTGTCGCCAAACTCAAGAAAAACGTAGCGTGCGAAGAATCTCGTTTTCGCCCTTGGACTTCTTGACAGATGAGTTAGTCTCGGCTGACATTCTATAATATCCGTTTCATGTAAAGATCGCTGACAATCTCATTTCATTTGAATGCATTCTTTAGAAGTCTGTGTATACATCGTTCGATCAATCATCTATTATTTTATTGTTTTGAATTTCCAATTCGAGTTTCTTCAAACAATGTAATTTAGCTAATGTTAACAAATTTTTCAACATTTTCATTGTTAATGTTTAGAACATTGCCCTCGTTCATGAATGTGAGTAACAGTGATGATGAAATATTTTTTAATTTTGATATACCGTAATGTCCACTAAACTACTTGACCTTTTCGCACTATGCATTGGTTGTTTGTAGAAGATTTCTAACGTAATATAATGCACTATAAACACTTTTTGTGACTTTTGTGTTGAATACTAATGACCAAAGATTTTTTAAAACTTTTAACGCATTTCGGTTTTATCTGAGTTCCCTTAATAAATCCTAAAAAATCGACTTTAGACTACTACTTTTTTTTCTATTTTGTTTTGTTTTTGCTTCTACGAAGCCAGGTATTATTCAAATTTATTTATATTCTATTCCATTTCGACGAGGTGGCCGAGCGGTTAAGGCGATGGACTGCTAATCCATTTCCCTCTGGGAGCGTGAGTTCGAATCTCATCCTCGTCGAATGTTTTTTTTCTTTTTTTTTTTTACAGAACGAAAGTTTTGTTTTTCTAACCATTATAAATTTTTTCTTTAAAGACATTGCGATAATTCAACCCAAGCACGGAAAAAGGCGATGCATGGAGCATCGCCAAATATAAATCAGTCGTCGATGTATCTTGATACAGATTTGCAACTAAATAACATTGTCCATGAACTGACATTTGCATCGAGTTAAACTTGATACAGTCAATTGTATTCGGTTTTATATCGAGCAGTGCAGCTAGCTCTGCAGTAATATGAATTCAGAAAGGAAATATGTATTCAATTTAAACCATTACAAAGCATACGATTAAGCATGCGGACTATTGCATGGAGCAGGAATAGATTATGAAAATCATTCTATTGTATATATTGTATCATTCTGAACTAATCTGATGATGTATATGTACGGAAAAAAAACGATGTGAACTCTTCAAGAAGTTTCTTATTTGAAAGATGTGATGGTTGATAGAGTGAAAATCAGATTTTACCGTATTGACTGCTATCTTTCGTCCAAAGAAATTTATGACATATAGATATTAATGACTTTAGTGCGTATAGGCGTACGTGAGAAATTTTTTACAGATGTTTGTGGCAAAAGTTGTTTGTGAAGGCGAGAAATCGATTTTCGATGAACAAGACGCAAAACAACACCGTATCATGGTGCGTTTCAGGCACACAGAGTTTTTCTTGTGACACTATCAGAATTTTGGTATATGTAGGAGAAGGAGTTTATTCTCTTCTTCGTTTCTCAGCCGGCCAAAACTTTCAGTGGTCACATGGCTCATGATGTCTGCTGTTGAAATACGCTAGAATCGAATTTGTACGCGGTTCAGAAAGAAAATAATCTGACAGACAAACACATCGGAAAAAAAACCTCACTCGTCACACACTTTACACATGTTTGTCTGTCAGATTATTTTTCATTCTCAACCGTGTAAACTTCAAGTGTAATTTCAAATTGTAATTTCATTTCAAAAATCCCGTTCCATCTTTTATCTGTTTATCAGAATATGTATTACATGACATACAATACACAGGGCTGTCACGACCAGTCAGACTTTGAGGAGGTGCTCTATTGAGACAAGCTTTTTTTTTCTGCTGGGAAAAATTGATTTATTTTATTTTTTTCTAGCGATCTTCTAGTAAGCCAGTTTTTAAATAAAACATGAAAAAGTTTTAGATATTATATGTTGAATCTGATGGCTATATCATTTACTTAAAAGAACTGGCATATTATTAGATCGTAGCTCAGACGTTAGAGCTCTGACCAAGAAAGTTGATATCACTCGCATTCGATTTTCGGTTCCACCATAAAGTTTATTTTCTTGTATTTGCCTATCAAAGTTGTCTCTTCGTTGGACAAATATGTACATTAATTGACATACAAGTTCTATTTTACATTTTATAAATCTGTCCTCATATTCTAGATATCATGTCATTGCCAGATATTTTATTATTAGAACCCTTTTACAGTGGCTCACACCGTCAATTAATCGATTTACTAACGTCCTATTTTTCTACTCGTTGTACTCTAATTACACTAGATGATGGCTCTTCCAAGTGGCCATGGCGTGCACGATGTTCCGCTCTTCAATTCTGTTCTCTTATCCCTCATGATCATTCGTATCGTTATTTATTTTGTTCCTCAGTATTAAACTTATGCGAATTGCTCTCATTAAGACAAGATTTATTAAAATGTCGAAAACATGTGTATTTTCATGAGAATCAGCTTTGTTATCCAAGACAAACCATCAAAAAAGAACGTGATTTTCAATTTGGATATAATGAAATTTTGACTGCTCTTGTTGCAGACAACATTCTTTTTAACTCAAAATATAACCAACAAACATTTCTCGAAAATATTCCATCTTTTCTAAACACCATACCAACAAAACCTAAACTCCCATTTCAATCGATTCAGCAACAAATTGATGACAAATCATTGATTCTCTACTTTCCATTACAGTTTGATGATGAACCATCGACTGTAAGTACTGAAAAAAAAATTCTTTTGCTCAAAATGGTTACAAGTCAAAAAAATTATTATGATCATAGGGTAATCTCTCAAACAATGATTCTCGTCCATTAACCATCGTTTGGCCTCATCGTTGGGAACATGATAAAGATCCGGAGAGATTTTTTCATGTTTTATACGAACTCCATGATCAACACTTCGAGTTTAAATTAATTATACTTGGTCAATGTTTTGGAGAACAACCATCGATTTTTGATGAAGCAAAAGACAAATTAAAAGAGCATCTCATACATTGGGGTTATGCTGAATCACGTCAAGACTATTTTCAATTGTTAAAACAAAGTGATGTGGCTGTATCGACTGCTCAACATGAATTTTTTGGTGTCTCAATGTTAGAAGCATGTCATTCAGGATGTATTCCTCTATGTCCAAATAAATTAGCCTATAACGAATTGTATCCACAAGAATTTCTTTACAATACAACATTACAATTGGTAAAACAATTAAAATTCTATTGTAAATATCCGAAAAATGTTCGAGAAAATGTGAAGAAAATGATTGTTGAACCATTTTTATGGAAAAATTTGAGAGAAAAATATGAGAAATTATTTTCATAATAATCTACAAGAGAGAAAGAATGAGTTGGCTAGACAGGACGATAATCATGGGGCTTTGCTCTCTTTTGACTTGTCTTAGTTATAACTATTTGTTTCATCAATAAATAAATAAAGTTTAAAAAAAAAAAGAAAAGAAAATGAGAAAATAAGTTGATAATAAATAAGATAAAATGTTAAGATTTTTATTGACTTGTATCACAAGAAATCAAGAAAATAAACGTTTAGGATAAATATTTTTCTGAATCTGAATGAAAGAGAATAAAGTATTCGAGTTTTACCTTAAATTTCTATACGGATAATCTAAATAACATATGAAAAATTTATTTTATTTTTTAGATTTAATATTGTTGTTGTATGATAAAAAGTTTACTAAAAATGATCATTCGTGAATCAACATCATTAGCCTTAAAATTTGAAGTTCTAGCCGAATGTCAGACAACAAAAGCACGTGTCAGCCGTCTAACATTGCCTCACGTACCAGAAGGAATACAGACACCAGTCTTCATGCCTGTTGGCACTCAAGGTACACTCAAAGGTTTAACACCTGAACAATTAAAACAGATCGATTGTAAATTAATATTAGCAAATACATACCATTTGGGTCATAGACCGGTAAGTAAATGTTGAATAATTATTTTTGTTTTTTTTATGAATGTCTATGTTTTTTCTCACAGGGTCCCGAATTACTGCAAAAAATGTCTGGTTTACATGCATTTATGCATTGGAATGGGGCTTTATTAACGGTAATTAAAGTGAAACTGACTGTTAATGAGGTGATTTTTATGCGTATGTTTATGTTTTAGTAGGATTCTGGTGGTTTTCAAATGGTCTCACTCGTTAAATTATCGGAAGTAACTGAGGAAGGTGTTCAGTTTCAATCACCGCATGACAATACACAAATGTTATTAACACCAGAAAAATCAATCGAAATACAAAATGTTATCGGTAAGTAATTGTCTTTTCTATTTACATTTTTTTTAGTATTAAAATCACATAATGTAGCAAGTGATTTTCATTCATATTAATTAGTTTCTGTTTGTGTCATGTTCCTAATACTTCTCTTACAGAAGAGTAACACGTACTAGTTTCAATATCTGTTTTAATATCTGTTTGAATTGTGAACTAAAACTTTGTAAAAATCAGTGATTAATTGAGATTGATCATAAACTCATAACGATTGATCGTCATTTGTGAATACACTAGTGGGTAAATAGGAGGATCTTTGATAGTATAACACAAAATTAAAATTTGTCTCAAGCAAAAACTACAATCAATAGTAACAAAGAGAATCAATTGCTCTATGGATAACCTCACGTACTGAAGAAGGTTGATTCAAACAAAAATTCGTTAACAATAAAAAGAACCAGATTGGTCTACATAATCATAATTCTTATTCGATTTTTGACATCTACGTTAATTTTGTTTTAACATTACCTTTGAGTAACCTTTAGGAGAATTATCATCTTTTTCTGTCTTTTGTTAGCAATAGTTTACTGTTGATATATTGTAAAAAAGTTGTAATCATTTTTCTATCACATTTGGTATTTATGTAAGATATTAATGGAAATTCGTAAGATGTCGGAAATTCAAAGTTTGAGTAGGATTTGTAAGATTATTTTATCCGTTTATTTATGCATAATTGCATAGAGCACATCGAGCGGAGTTAGAAAAAGTGGTTTTTAATATTTTTAAGGAAGAAAGATTGAAAAACTTCGAAGGATCTAAAATTTCGTAAAATCCTTCAGTTTCAAATACATTCAAACTTTTTCCTTTTTCCTTCTATCTTTTTTTGGAAGTATCTTTTTCACATTCAGCATCAAAAACTGAGTATGAGAATGACGCATGATCGATGTTGAAGTCAGAGGTCTATCCAGTATGAACGTTTTGGACTACCCCTGTGAAGAGTTCCTAAACAGTTCTGCAAATCTATCTACTTTTTTTGTGAAGAGCTGAAGCTGATTTTTGTACTTCATTAGAACTACCATTGAAACCGCTTTAAGAGTATAAATCGTTTTATTTTCTATTTTGCTTTGTCAAAAATTCATTTTTCTAGGTCAGAAGCGAAAAAATTGGAATTCTGCCCGTAGTTCTCCGTTTTCTCCACAAGAACTCTTTTTTTATACAATAAAAATATCGTAGTCGGAATCGGCGTCACAAACTGAGGAGGGAACCTTTCGAGGTGATTAAACGCTTTTTGCTCGGAATCTAGTGGGTTATAGGGTATCGATCATGCTAATTACGAATATGACCATGGCGGTTGCTCTTAGCCCTTTGAAGACCTGGTTTTCTAGAAAAACAGTTTTTCAGAAACTCTAAAATATAACCCGAATCTTTCTTAATGATGCATGATTGTAGCCCGTACATTTCTAATTAAAATGAGATATCTCCCAGCTTTACACGACCTTTCTTTGCAAAGTTATAAAATTTACAAGAAAAGCCCTAAATTAATTTCTTCTTATTTCTGTAGCTTTGAGCTGACAATGAACATTTAGGGCTTTTCTTATAAACTGTATAACTTTGCAAAGAAAGGTCGTGTAGAGCTCGGAGACATCTCATTTTAATCAGAAATTTCCGGGCTACAGTCATGCCTTATTAAGAAACGTTTTGGTTATTTTTTTGAAGTTTTGGGAAAACTGTTTTTCCAGAAAACCGGGTCTTCAAGAGCTATGGGGATAAATCCTTTTAGGCTTTTTACAATCTCACTGTACTTTATCGATCGACATATGAAAGAAGGAAAACTGAGTGTATCATCTCGTGAATTTTCCTCGTGAGATTTTCACCAAAAAATGAAAATCAACGAAAAATCTTAAAATATATATCGTCTGACTCAGTTTGTGACGCTGACTTCGAATACAATATTTTTATTGTATGAAAAATGAGTTCTGGTGAAGAAAACTGAGAATTACGGGCAGAATTCCGATTTTTTCGCTCTTGACCTAGGAAAAATGAATTTTCTCAGTGAGGAAACAGAATGGATACTGGCTCATGTCATCTTATACGAAACTATACTGTCGTCAATGTATGTTAAGAACCTAAAGTACCTTCTACATTGCACTGATCAGACTGATAAATGTCGCTTCTAACTATATGTTAGTGATGATTTCTCCGATGTTCTAATTTCGTTCACAACGAGTATTTTAAAAAAACTTCACCTATGAGCAGAAACTATGCAGTATCTTCAAGTATAATAAATTCTTATCATTGTGTGTGTGTACGTATGAAAATATCACGTTTTAACAACTGATAAGTTCAAGGCTTTAGGTGGCAAGCGTCTGAATCTTGTTGAAATACTTTATGTATGACACATAGACTATTGTTATTTCAAAACAAGCACGTATATCTCATTTTTATCGGCTGATGCCGTATTTTTTTTTCCCGTTAATAAACATGCAATAAATCACAATTATAAAGACAAAAAGTGAACATTTTTGAGTTTAGTTATACAATGAATTGCTTCAAATGTAATAATAATTCCAAGAAAAAAGTGCAAAGTTTAGCATACAACTCTAATAATTATCCATTAACAGCCGGGTGGAATAAAACACAAATTTTAAGTCCATTACATTTAAAAAATACAAGTGCAATTGTTCATGCTCGAAATGAACAAAACATTGCTAAATACACATTAAGACACATTCACTGTGAGCGGATATAAAATTGTTGTTATTGTATGGATCATTTAGGCGCCGATATAATTATGCAATTGGATGATGTTGTATCAAGTACAATAACTGGACCAAGAGTCGAAGAAGCGATGTGGAGGTAAATTTACTAATTTTATAAGTATTATATCTTTTTATTTTATATTTTACTCAGATCTCTTCGATGGCTTGATCGTTGTATGAAAGCTCATCAACGTCCCACTGAGCAAAATTTGTTTCCCATTGTTCAAGGTGGCCTAGATTCACAATTACGAACAAAAAGTTTAGAAGGTAAAAAAGAAGAGAGAGAAAAAGAAAATTGATGATATTGTCTGTTATTTGATTGTTAGAAATAATTAAACGTGATTGTCCCGGTTATGCAATCGGTGGATTAAGTGGTGGTGAAGACAAAGATCAATTTTGGCGAATAGTTACATTGTGTACAGATTATTTACCCAAAGAGAAACCACGTTATTTAATGGGCGTCGGGTATGTTTAGATTATTGATGATATTCAACCAGATATGTAGAATAGTCCGTTTGTTTTGACGGTTGTTGCCAAACTCAAAGAAATTTAACAAAAATAGTATTTTCACCGAAAAAATGATTGCAGAAGAAAGTTGTCTGACCCTAAAGAAATTTTCCTTGTTTTCTCATTATTACAGGCAGATTCTGTACCAAAAGTGGAATTTGTTCGGTTTGAACGACTGTTTTCGAAGGATTTGTAAAAATGCAAAGATTTTGAAAACGAAATATTATTGAATGTATCGATCTGTTTCCACCCTATCTCTTATATTTTCATCGTTGTTTTTAACACTGTATTCAAATATTCGCATCAAACATATAAATGAGTCTATTGTAATTGAACAAAACAAATAGATACTTTTTGTTGTCTCCAATATTTATATTTTCACAAATACAGATTTTATGTTATATTTATATTTCGAGTGGACTATTGCTGATCAGGAGTAAATATCTCCTTCAGTTTGAAACGATGTTATCTGACAGATCTCTGTACATCTCACCCGTTTCTGTTTTAACAAACATTTTTAGTTATAATTTCATTCGTTTCAAAAGTTTTTCGCTTTAATTTTGAAAAAACAGCAACTGATGCCACCTCTATATTTAACAAATTTTAATCATTTTTTGTGATATAACAAAACTTATAAGAAATTATGTGTACATTGAAATTATGATTCGAATTTAGCTTTGCCATTGATCTTGTTATTTGTTCTGCACTTGGTTGTGATATGTTCGATTGCGTATTTCCCACTCGTACAGCAGTAAGTAATCAATCTGATGAACAGAAATTATAATTTTCATTACTACTACTTTTTTATTTTTCAGCGTTTTGGTTGTGCATTAGTCGATTCTGGTCAGCTCAATTTAAATAAATCTCAATATGTTAAAGATTATCGTAAAATCGATGATGATTGTTCATGTTATACATGCAAAAATTATACGCGATCGTATTTGAACACAATTGTATCCAATGAAACGACGGCATGTCATCTAATTACGATACACAATGTTGCATATCAGGTAAGAACATCAATATTTCACCCATAAAACTGAGTGTAAATTGTATATATTCTAGATGCGCTTAATGGCTCGTATTCGTCAAGCAATTATTGAACAACGTTATCCAGAATTTATTCGTCATTTTGTTCAAATATATTTTCAAGATAAATCTGTACCAGATTGGGTAACAAATTCATTAAAATCCGTTAACATCACTTTGTGATAATGTTTAAATAAAAATATACTGTGTTTCAACATAATATTCTTGTTTTCTTTTAAATGCACCGAACATGTGTAGTTTTTGTGCATATATAAAAAATTGAATGGCTTTTTGATTATAAGAACTAAGAAGTGTTTCATTTAACTATTTTATTTAAAACAAATATTCGATCACAAGAGAGAGAATGAAAGTCAATGGCTGTCCTTTATTGCGTTTCTTGTTCATATTGGTCGATTAATTCTGTAATTTTTGTTACCGTTTCTTCATCTTCTTGACCGTTTTGTCTTAGTTCTGCTCGTATTCGTTCCATAAGTAATCCATTCCATTTGTTTCAAAACGGTGTTGATCTGCTAAATTGAACTCTACCAGTTGTTCAAATTAACTCTTGTGCAAATTCAGAATTTTGGTCAAATTTTGCTTTATTACCGATGTACATCTGATTTATTTTAATTTTTTCCCAGTTCGGTTTTAGTGATTTCACACTGGCACCCGTTTGCCATGCACTCATACCACTACCCGATTGTCTTATACGTTCATGATCTTCAGGAATAGTAGCCTTTTGAGATTGAAAATAGTTTTCAGCACTATAATATTCATTTCATTTATTCTACGGACAAGTATCGGGGGATGTATTTTCACTAGTTACATGTTAAAAAGATATCGACTAAAGCGATTAAAACCTTGTTTCTTTATTAAACGTTCACGTTCTCTATGCTACACATTTTCAGACGAACTGGACTTCACTTTGAAAGTGCATGGTTGAATATTATTTGTTTCTTCATGTCTTTCACCATCGATTTGAGCAGCTCCATCCATTGTTTCGTCTACAATTACCTTGTCATGTAAGTTTAGAAACGTTAACTTTCTTAATTTGTTCCATACCATTTGTTGTTATGGTATGTAGCATAAAAACGGAAAATGGTATGCATCATAGTCTTACTAAAACCACGAAATCATTCATTGAGTTTAGAAATGTACTTTCATCATCGTTCATTTTAATAAGTGAAACTCGTACATTGACGTGTTATTACCGTTTTTTTACGCCGTCTTAATGGTGATTTTAACGATGATACATGAGTTATACAGCTACGGATTGTTTGCAAATAATATAGCAGTGTGAAAATCTAATAGAAACACCTCAGAAGAACTTTCATGCTTTCCAAGTAGGAAATGCTTTCCAGCAGTGATACTGTTTTTAGAAATTAACAATTTTCACAACTAGAACTGAATTCCAGCATTTTTTAATGCGTCCACAGAAAAATACAAAGACGAATTGCTGGTCAGAGAATGAGCAATAATAACGAAACAGAAATACCAGCAACATATTTAGAAATGATGTTGGGGAGAAAACTACATTAGCAAATATATCTATATCATATTGAAAGTTATGCTCTACAACTTAATACCTTGAAATACTCGACTTCGGCGTCATGTGACAGCAGCACCAATACAGTATCTTGTAAATACTGAAGGAAAATTTGAAACATCACTTACAACTTAGCGCTAACGATGTTATATGGAAATGTCCAAGTAGTTAGTTTGAGTAGCACATCAGTACTACTAACAATAGGAGAGAATATCTGGCCTATACATTACAAGTATAGGAATGAGTCTCGAGCGTAATCTTAGAACTAGGGCCCTGCAGGTTAAACCTAACCTAACCTATAGGTTAGGTTGTAGGCCATTGATCATCTATTTTTAACCTAAACGAAAAAAACCAACTTTGAACTACCAAATTAAAACAGCCAATACTTTGAGTAATAAAGCGTAGTTCCAGTGAAATTTTATCGGTTGAGGATAAAGGTCAGATTAAAGTACTCTAGTTTAAACTGAACTATTTTTAAACTGAAAAATAGCACAATCAAAACAGAAAGTACAGAGAAAAAACTTACGTTTGCTAAAAATAGATGGCGAATACACAACAATAACAGAAACTTCGTAGCATCGAGAGCCTAAAATGGAATTCTCAAGAGGGTCTCCCTATTAAGAAAGCTATTTTCCAAAGATTGCATTAAAGAATAAAAGACTCAACCAATTCATTTCTATATTCATGTAAAATGGGATTTATTTTGCATAAGCTTACCTATCAGACGGTGTTTAGATACGAAACAATAACGATATGGAACAAAACTGAAGTTTAGGCTTCTGAAACCAGGTTTTGAGAAAAAATTGCATAGGTTGTATTAGGTTAATCTAGGTTAGGTTAAGAAAAACATTAACAGGTTAGGTTATAGGTTGTCAAAAAGTTATAACCTGCAGGGCTCTAAGTTAGAACCTCAGTTAAATGCCAGAAAAAAAGAGAACAAAAGTGTCATATTATTTCTGCGCCACCCGTTAGTCAAGAACAGTAACTTCTCACCAATATCGTCTGATGGACCAACCAATAATTAGGTTACCTGTACCAGATTTTATTTTAATTCCGTGACCGTTTTGTTTTGTCAGCGTCTATATCTTACAATATACTGCCGAATGTCTTTTTGACCTTTTCTTCTCATACGAAAAGTGCCGAGATAGTGACGCATGATTATGACATGAGGGTGATTCTTTTGAAAGTGTACCAAAGTTTACATCACCTTTGTCCGGAGTGTTCGAGAGTAACAGGACTAGTAGAACTCGGGCTTCTGATGACGAATATCACGTTTAAAAAATTTTAAAACAACGGTATGGTGGTCTAAATATTTAACGATAGAAAAAAACAGCGGACAAAAAGTTCCAAAATGTTAAACACATTCTCAGGAAAATGTTTAGAAAGGTCGGTTTTTCCGAAAAGTAGGTCTTTTTGTAAAGCATTTCCACCGGGATGACATATATCTCGCATGTGCTCGACGTGGGCTATTAGAAAAACAGACTTTTTGTCTCTGGCCAAGTACTTTCAAAACCGACGAATATCCTGTGGTGTTTTCGCTGGAAAAATACTTTTCCGTGAAAGTACTTGGCCAAAGACTGG